CAAAATATGTCACAAAGGAAATGCCTTGGAACACTGCTAATTGAACTACCAAATCTGATCTCAAAACATGATCACGACTCCCGAGCCCGGAATTGGTACGATATAACGCGTAGGATTGATTAACATGAAGCGTATTTCAATTTCTGAAAGCAGGCAGAACATTTCAAAACGATCACTTCATTTTTATTGGTAGAAGCAGGACATTGAAGCAAAACGTCTCGGTATCTGAGCCCTGAACCGAAGCCTTATTGCTACTCACAATGACGCATTATATTTAATTTCAACAAATTCTTCTAGTAATTTAAAGTACATTCTGGCCCATTTCGCATGAATAATTTTCACAAGTTGATCCAACTTTACCATCGCAAATCAGCATTAAGACTTCAAACTAAGCCGGCTCATGGAAGAAATCTGGTAATATTGCCCATTAGCTCCAAAACCAAAGATAAAAAATGCAGAAATTAACTTACCTCTATTGAATCAAGTCTGGAACGTGAATTATAATTAAATGATTAATGAATTAAGAGATGCCACGACTACCTCTGAGCTTCCGGCCACAGCTCGACGGTATGGCTGCAAGATAAGCTTGCTCGCGAGGCCAAGGCTGACTGGCAAGTGCGGCCTCTGGGTCGTCAAGCTTGCAGTGAAGTCGGTTGCCTGGATACCGGCATGTAATACCGGCCCTTAATGGTGGAGTTACTGCCATTAGTGTCTATATTAAAAGGACTTAGGGCATTTTTATCTTGGTGAGGACAGAGAATATGCTAGCGCTGAAATATGCGCCTTAAAATCTGTTTTCGGAGCAACAGTTTTTGGGAAATTGAGAGTGTAGCAAATGCATGCGGAATAAATAGATATTCTTGCATCTCTGTTTTGCGAATTTTGTGGTTAAAAAAGAAGAAAGCTCATGGTTTGATTTCGTTTATATTACCTGTCATTGAAGACTTCTGCATCATGTTTATCCTGTTTTTAGGCTTTGCTCTGCCTCTTTCATTCAGTGTCCTAATAGGGGAGCATGTACGTGGAAAATCGAAAATTTAGAATTTTCCGGTTATTAGGCTCATTTAAAGGTTTAAGAACTGCGCATTTAATGAACCCAAAGCCATATTTGTGCGTTAATTAGTTCGTTTACGACAGCCGGCGAAGTGCAAGATGTCACGGCCACATCTGAGCTTCCGGCCACAGCTCGACGGTATGGCTGCAAGATAAGCTTGCTTGCGAGGCCAAGGCTGACTGGCAAGTGTGCCTTCTTGGTCGACCTATACCTTCAATGATCATAAAATTCACTTTTTGGCTTTCCTGAAAGCTTGGTATTTTCATCGTAAATATCTATCTCCTCTTATGATTTTCTAAGCTATAGCATTGAGAGATACATCATCCGATTCGTAAAGACCTGATCTAGCGATCATCCGATCAATAATTTTTCTTATTTCTTTTTTTCTTGGATTATAGATTGAAAAAATGGGGGGAGGAAAAAAATTTAAAAAATCAGAAAAATCACACAAGAAATTATAAAATTGAATAAGTGATTGTATGATCGTTAGATATGGTTTTTACGAATCGAATGATATGTTTCTCGATGTTGTAACACGTTAATTGCACGAGGAGATTTTGTCAGTACCCCCTTTTTGCCGTTTTCTATGAATTTCCCGTTTTCTTTAATTTTTTCGAAAAATTTACACGAACAAAAAAGTCCTAGATTTCTCTTTTTTTTATATATGTACTAATTTTTGAATTGATCCGACCGTAAATGAAAAAGTTTTTTTTTACGTAGCTCCCCTTAACGTAGCTCCCCGTAGCTCCCTATGAGAGTATCATAATTTTTCTCAGAAATAGTTATGCTAGAGTATGATCTTCATAAATGCTTTATTGCAGACGATTGAGGATATGAATGACGCATAGATTATGAAGCCAGTAGCGTCATACTCTAAGCCAGTGGTTCCCAAAGTGGGCGGTACCGCCCCCGTGGGGATGGTGGAGAGATCTGTGGGGCGGTGAGGAAGAAGGGGGCGGCTGTCCGAAGTCAGAAGTTCGAACGTTTGGCGATTTGCACACAACACGTGCAGCACACGGCTCCCAGCGACGGGTTTTCTACCAGATTTTTTTCAACCTCTTCTGGGTTTCAAGTGTACATTTTAAAAAATATTTAAAATCTGGGTTTTTTCATCAATCACTACTCTTAATAGAATATATAGCAAAAGACCGCTTTCCATACGTTAGAGTTAAGCGCACCTGATACAAAATTACCCGCAGCGACGGAAGAAGAATGTGTTAAAATATTCAATGAGAGTATCATACGAGTATCAAAAGAGTATGAACCGAGTCCGTTCGGGACGCTGCATGGCCATGTCGCGCCACTGAGTGCTGAGCCTCAGGTCGGAGGGAAATTTTTTTCCCTGTGATGAGGCGGGCATATACGTATACAAAACTTATAAAAATATATTGGTTAACTAAATTGGGTTTTATTTCTGAAATAAACATTTTTGTTTAATCTTTCTCTTTTCAATTTAAGAGGGCGCTAGACTGCGAAAGCTTGGGAAATACTGGTCTATATAAGCTGTCTGTGTTTCTGCCAATTCATCTCTTATTTTGCATATTTTTTTTTATCTCATATTTTGTAAAGCTATAATGTATGAAATTCAATTTTCATTATCAAGCAGGTGATGGTTTTGCAACACTTTAAATTGAACTTTTGAAATGACAGTAGTACAAATCAATGGTATAGCGGATGCAATTTAAAATTAAGCTTAAAATAATGCATAAATAAGCAATAAATTTTAAGCTTCAGTGTTAGCCGGTGTCCAGTGCTTTGAACTATTTGATCAAGAAGTTTCATCCTAGATGAACTACCGCCGTACCGATTTGTGTCCAATTGTATTAACCTGCTTCGTGAATAAAATTATTGAACTGAAACGCCTACAAGTGCTCTTTTTAAATTCGTGATTATAGAATCAATAGCCAAACAACGCAATAGGCTGACTAATATGATATAGTGATATATTACGATTATAATATATCACTATAGGCCAATATGCGGTGCGTCAGCTGATGCGGCAGCTGACAGGTCCGACAAGGTCCGACAAGGTAACATTACATGAAATATCATCAAGTACGTGCATAAAACATGACATGTTGGATGAACATAAATATAAGCGTTTATGCTGCATACATGAGTTAATACACACGACACATTATGATGCACATGCACGTCACATGACATGATATACCGACATGCACTAGCATGTCACATGGCATGATATATCGACATGCACTAGCATGTCACATGGCATGATATACCGACATGCACTAGCATGTCACATGACATGATATATCGACATGCACTAGCATGTCACATGGCATGGCTTATCAACATGCGTATAATGTAAGGCACAATGACAGCCGTGGCGGCGCTAAGGCTGCAGTGCGGACGCCAGCCTGGGCCGAATTTTGCGGCAATTTTGATAGGAGATTTACGGTCGTTGGACGTTTATATGTAACGTATAATAAACTGAATTATGAAATTTCCTCTCTAATGATGTGCTGATAATTAATATTGACATCAGCATGTGGAAAGGTTCTAAATTATTGAAATAATAGATATTTTGAATTAAAATATTAGAATGAATGCCCAAAACTGAATACTCCGTACAACATCGTCGATATCGTCTGAGCTTACATGTCAGCATTAATAGAACTTCAATGCGTAGTGACTACGTTAATAATATTTTTTTTAATCCGTGATTTTTACATGTATTATGTGTTTTCATGTTTATTATGTGTTATACTGGCGTCAATAAATTCACGGCCCCCGCGATTGATTGTTTACAAGCGAAATTTGTTAAAATTTTCTTGTGACGACTTATCGCCCACTAACTCCATCCAGAAGATTTTTTCATATATTATTTAATCAAAAAAGCTTATTAGAGCAAAGTCCGTTGTCTGCTCGCGCTGTGGGTAAAAGTGTAACTCTTTTCGGACAATATAACCCGTTCATTTATCTGAATTACAAATCATAGGAATGACTACCAAACATTTGTTTTTGATTTTTGGAGTAATTACACTACTCATATTATACAGAAATTATTCAGTAAACCCATCAGACTCTGTCCATATCAAATATTCCGTTCATCCGAAGGCTGAAGCTTACATTGAATCATTGAATCATTCCTTTCAATGCCAGACATAAAAAATTGTTATTGGCTTTACATTATTCCTCATTCACCTGTTGAATATCTTTTTAGTCCAAAATTTTTGTTTATAAAGGCCTTTGAGATCAGTTTTTATTTCAAGACAGGCCGGATTTTAGCAGTTATTTTGCGTCAGTTCTAGAAACAAGCACATAAATTACCAAATTGTCAATCAAATTGCTGGGAAAGAGAATTATAAGTAAAGGATAAGGCAGACAGCGATACAAGATACGTGAATAACATTCTTTCTATCCATTGACAAGACTATGTGGAACCCTAATTTTCAAACTAAGTTAAATAAGTGAAAAATCGATTGAGTCATAGAAAATTTAACATAGTTTTATATCGCAGGGTTCATTCCAAATCGGATCAAAATAATCTTGGTCCAAAAAATTACGACAAAATGAAATGCGATACAAATTTCTAATTCCCATATTATTTAGTATATTTAGCGAAGGTGCAGCAGACATGATGGAACTCTAGGTGCACACAGATCAAGTCTATTAGCAGACATGTTATCACATGTAGAGCAGTCTAGCATAGACCCTCTTACCAAGGTAGGACCAAAGCAGGTGCTGTTCAACATTAAACAAGGCTGTTGCAACGTAAGGACGTTTGATATTACGCATATTTTCAAAGCATTCGAGTCTTTCACTATATAAGCATATCACAATGACTGACGAAACGCAAGTGCAGTTACACTAGAGTAAATGAGAACCTGGTGATATAATTGGAATTTTATAATAAGATATAATATATATTTCATACATAATATGGTAAGATAGATATGATGTAAAATAATATATATTTCACCTGATTGGCGCGAGTTCCGTTCTTCGACCAAGTGCTCGCCAGGAACATGTCAGTTGGGGCGGGAACGTACGCTGCACAAACATTAGCCAGTTACTGGAGGAAAGTATCTTATTAAATGATGAAATGTCTTTCCGCGTACTTTACCAATTAATTTGTAACCGGCCATTGTAGCACAGATCTGATGATTTATTTATACGGTGGGTTCTAGAAATGTAGCAATAACCGTGATGTCGAGCGTGATTTTAGAATTGGCGCATTCAGGAAATCGAAGGCTACTGAAGAAAATGTTACGGCACCGACAGCCATGAAAATGGTGAGGCCCTTTCATGTATAGACGAAAAGATATTGATTTCCTGATTTGCCCGTACATTGAATATTCACTGCAATTTCGATACGATTATTTCTTTTTTTTGCAATAAACTGCTAACATACGTTATATCAATTAATTTTCGGACCTGGAGCTTTACAAAAATCTTTTAATAAAGTTAGCCTTATTGACCAATTTGGGATAATATTCATGCGCATTCCATCAATCATAATATGTTTACCTCGAACTACTTGTATTTTTGCGATTTCAACAACCACATCATTATGAACTGGATCGCAATTTAGAATAGCATTGCAGACGGCAATTTCATAATCACAAGACTGATTAAGAGAAAATGCGCTAATTTCACTAACAGAACTTGGTGTAGGTGACCGCCTCGAGCAGGTGCCGCGTCGTCAAGGAGCTCCCAGTTGCGTTGCTGAGGAAGCAGACGTCGCTCACGGCATCGTAAGTCACGGCCGTGCAGGTGTCGTTCGTACGGCACTGCGCTTCACAGGCACCTTATTGATTGGATAGGTGAGTAATACCATAATAATTACGCGACTTATGTAAAAAGTAATTTTGAATATTTTACAAATTTACTTTTTAGGATTGTAAAACTGACGATGGAGCAGGACTTGAAAAAGTTAATTTTTTGTATATGGTGAAAATTTATGCCATCTTCTTTACTTTTTATTCCTTGTAAATTTTCAATCCAAACAATCAAACGATCTTGACTGACTACAATTTCCGGATAAATGTATTCGTTTTCTGCAGGTAATTCAATCCCACGATAGACAAAAATTAACAATTTTTGTAAGCTAATGAGCAGGTAAGTCTGACGTTACCCGGGCTTGATAATCCCTTCAATTTTAGAAATCCGATGTCTCGAATTATGGTAATGATAATGAAGGTAATTTATGTTTATTTCACCATGACCCGTTTAAACCAAAGTTTTGCATTGAACATTAAACTCCATAGAACTTCCATTTGATTTTCGGTTCACTGTAAGGAAGAAACTATTTTGCGTCGTTTAAATTCAATATATATAAATGCCGATTTTGAAACAAAATTAAATTTTTAGAACGATCCTTCCCTCCAAGGTAAGTAATGTCGCGCAATTCGAACATGAAGAATCAAATTTAATGTCCTGGTATCCCGAAATGATGAGTATCGCTTATCTCGTATGTATACTAGTATGAGTATCGTGAAAGATATACGTATCATGGATAAGCGCCCTAATAGCCTTCGTACATTTGTGATGTCCGGCTTCCAACACACACAAAAAACTTTGACAAATATATTCAGGTTTTATGCTATGCGTAATATTTAAATTTATAGAGGTGGTCCACGCTCGAAGTCAGTCCTGACAAACGCATGAATGAAGTGAAGTTCTAAGTACCATGCATGGTGGATATTTTGGTCGCTTTCTTCACTTCGACGACTTTCTACTAATGTCTAATATCTAAGTGAAATATGAGCTCGATTAAACATAAGGCACAAATTCAGATTTACACATTTATATGATTCCTGAAAGCCTGTCATAATTAAGAAGCGTATTATTTATATTCACTAAAATTGTGAATTTCAGAAAATCAGCTTGAACAAACTATATAAGGAATTAAGTCTTACATTGTGAGCGAACGTGCACAGTGTTGTAGACGGGAGTCACGATGACGTAGTTCTGGAGGGTAGACGCCCACCCGCGAGCCCTGGCCTGCAGCATCGCACCCAGCGCGAGCAGGCGGACCAGGGCGAGAGATCGCATGGCATACGGGAATTCAACTCTGATCAATAAAAATTCATAATATAAATAAATAATAAGACTTAATTTAATGCTCACCAGAATTTGAAATTCGTTGTTGCAGAAAGGTCAGGAAAAAATGAGAATATGAAAAATAAAACATTCGCCTAATTTTATTGTATGAAGCTCGTCTCAGACCGGAAATTTAATAAGGCTGCTTCATTGACATACAGAATTCCGTAAAGAAATATTTGTGGTTTCACTAAAAACTTGACCCAGTCAAAAAACAGGGTTTGTAAATACGTAGAAAATAAAAGTCTATGCTGATTTTACTCGAATTTCCTCCACCCAGTTGGATAATCATTTTGCTATAGGTATCATTGGATTAGTGACCTTTGGTACAATTTTATAAGGTCTTACTTTCCACTGTCACTCTGCACAATATGCAGGACGGCTATTTTCTGCAAGAACGCAGCCTATATGATAAAGTTAGTTATTCATATCTAACGCGGGCCCTCACCGACGAAGTTCTCTTCACAACTGAGGTTCAAAATACTAGAGGACATGAATGTCGTTAGATCGATACTTGACGAGCGTTCTTAGGTCATTTAAATGGCTTCGTGTAAATATTGAATACTTAATTTAGTATTTATAATTACACTAAGGCTTTATTTATGATGCATTCATATTAGGATTATTGAGAAGGCGTGCTTCTAATTAATGGAAGGTTCCCTGCCATTAAGGTGTTATGGCGATACAAAAGTTTTTACATTAATTCCTATTGATGTCTTCTGCACGTCGATCGTTGACTACCGCAAGAAAATGCACTGGATTAAGCATAGGAAAACTTGATCTTCTGCGTGAAAAGTAGATAATATGAAGGGACAAAGGTTATCCGAGCTGAAATAATAAATATCAGAATTCAGGCATATTCCAGATATTGATGTTCACTTTAGCATCAAGCCAAATATCATATTTTACCACAATTAGCATCTCAAGATTATATACGTTCACGTTCTGGAAGAAGTTGGATTTCGATCGTTTTATAAACCAAGGATTATCTTTGGTGGTGACGAATCACTGCTCGCATAATTCAGATCTCCAATTTATAATCATTTCGTCGATCACTGGCTTCACTCTCAACGCGTTCTAGAATGATTTGAAACTTTACTGGATGTTGAGATTTCTTTGTTTATTTTAATTTTAAATACTTCTTATTTTTGAACTACATAAGTGCACTACAGAGCATTGTGGTGAACTAAATTTGTGCATTGCAGATATACGTGAAATTATATCAAATGTTTTTCTTGTGTACATCATTTAAAAAAATCCATATCGGTTAAAATCAGGAAAAGTGCAGAATTCTTTTCCAGAAAATGTCCCAAAATTAAGTATACGACAATGACGTACAAAAAATGGTGAATGTTGGTTATAGAAGAAATGATGGATCTAATTTTCATTTCATGTAAAGCCCCCAGCATTCAAGTTTTGAAGTCGTGTTAGAATTAACAACCGTCTCTCGTAATGATTGATTCATGTTCGGTATTTGTTTATAGTTGAAATGTTCTTGGAACGCACGTTTACGTTTTTCTAACATAAAATTTAAGTTGGGCGTATGACGTTGTTTTTTCGTTTAAATCGTTCATATGGAATAGCATACTCAAAAAATTGAAGCAAAAACAGGACGTGATATAGAAGTTATGATGTTTTACTTCATCTATGGAAGTTCAAAATATTGCGGTTCGATCTATTTGAATAAATGGGGTTGATATCCGTAAAAAAGACTATTTTTTTATTCATTTTATTTGCGTCATTCTGGGACTGAAATGTCACGAATTTTATGAAAAACATGCAGTCGAATGCATTAACGATCATTTAAATTTCTTGTGATCATGTTTCTCGCAAGAACTAGCTTATGTGAGCGATGCGAACACTCGACTGGCAGCTCACATTTCAGTGCTATATATACCACCCGACCACGGTACGTGATGCGGTAATGTATTTCACTTAAATGCACGAATTCAGCGATATTTCTCAAAAAAAAAGTAAAAACCCATCGCACCAAGCGGACCAGCGAGCAGGCTGACCAGGGCGAGAAATCGCATTGCGTGCGGTAATTCAACTCTGATAAGTAGTAATTAATAATATCAATAACAAATATTCGGGAACGAAAATTTAATTTAGTTCTTACTTGAAAATGCTAGAAAAATGAGTATGTTACAACAAAAAGTCTCACGTAATTCAATTGTACAAAGTGCGTATTAGACCGGAAATACTTGTAGAGGTGCTTAATTGCTATGCAGAATTCCTTTAAAAATTATTTGTGATTTGAAGAAAAATTTAGCCCAAGCAAAAACACATAGCTTGTAAATACACAGAAAATGAAAATGATTACCAAGTTAGATAATGGTTAGATCTTGGTAATGGTTTTATTTGCATAGGAATAGTAGCGAAGCACTGACTGTAACATTTTTCCATCAATTTGAAAGCAATTGGAATTTTTGCAAGCTATGTTTCGAACGTACAGCATTTTTGAGGGCAATGTTTTATTCTCACACTGATAGAAAAATTGAAAAAAAATATGCGGCTGCATCGGCGTGACAAATACCAGGTATCAAACAGGAGAGTTTGCAGTATAACCTCATATTCATAATATTGAAATTATTAGAATCATGCTCCATTCATAACTTATAAGAATCAAGCTCCAATTGAACGCACAAGCATTAGTGGATAATATGAATAATCTTATTTTCAGCGTTCATGCAATAAAAAGTAATCGTTTTAGCGTTTAAAGGCACCGTTCGATAAAATTCTGGCTACAGTTTTGTGAACGGTTAAATATTCTGTAAGCAAGTTACATACGTAGTGGTTATTTGCTCTTGAGATTATCATGCCAGGCTTCATAGTGCGCGTGGGGAACTTTTAACCATTTGCTTGTCCACACAGCGCCCCAGACAGCAGTGCTTATCTTCATATATTTGCCAGTGCATTGGACCTGCATCTTGGTGCGTGACCAGGCTACGGCTTTATGTCATGTACCTGCTAAGTTATCTTCGTTCAGAGACTTATATGAGATGCATTAACTCAGAAGAATATGTTGATTAGCTTGAGCATTAATCGATGCAATACGCATTAATCGATTTCCGCATCACTATAAAGGCGGAATATGAAATTTATGTGAAATGAATTCATTTCTTCACTCATATCTAATCCCAAGGAGATTAAGGGTAAAAATGTATAAGCAGTAAAAAAAAAGGCAAATATAATCAAGAGGATCTGAAGATCATTGCTGAAGCCGTAACAGAAGGTCATTGCTGAAGCCGTAACAGAAGATCATTGCTGAAGCCGTAACAGAAGGTCATTGCTGAAGCCGGAACAGAAGATCATTCCTGAAGCAGTAACTCTAGATAAAAGCTGTAGCCGTATGTAACAGAATATAATTGCCTTATTTAGTCATATTTAGTGACCATCTGTTTAGAGACAGATGGTCACTAAACATAACATAACATCAGCCGAAACAGAAGACCATAACCTTATCCAGAAGACAAGACCATTTCAACTTCCGAAGTAGACACTAATAATTATACCGGTACAGCCGATCACTTTCCCAGTAAAAAATGAATATTTCAATCTGAATATAAATATTATCCACGGCCACAACATAAATATGAGACCACAAAGAAAATCATGGGAGTAAACCACTTCATCGGCTGGAATAGAAAATCATTCACTTAATTAGGCAGAATAAATAGTTTCATCACCTTAACTAGAATCCAGTTTTCTGGACACAGTAATCCAAGTACCTAAGTCTTTTCTAAAGCCCAGTACATGCGAACACTGCGATAAATCGAAATGTCATCCTCCAGCAACATGTTAAGTTATTCAAAATAACAAGGACCATAATACTCAATACTGTTACCGAGTTGTTAAGAAGCTATACCTCAACATTAAAAAATGTTACTACTACCAATCCCAAAGGCTACTGTCACTAGCTATAATACTAGTTAAATTAACTTCATGAGCCGGGATTGAAAGTCATTCGCCATTCGATTGCAACCCATAATCAGAGCTTATTTTCAGAGCTGGGCAGCGCTACTTTGAAATGTAGCGGCGCTACCGCTACCGCTATACCCACTAGATTGTAGCGAGCGCTACCGCTACAGTATAATGTAGCGCCGCTACATTAGCCGCTACAATTGCCAAAATTATTGGAAATCTCTAAATATTTATTGTTCTGCTATTGGGATTTACTCATAAACATTTAATGATAATAAAACATTTTTCAAAACATATCAATGCAACTTTATTGCAATTAACCTAACCGAACTAGTACGGCCCGACGGGTTAGAAACAGTAAATAAATGTTGCGGTTACTTTTATGTTTTACCTTCCCTACATGGATGTGTACTTTAATCTAACAATCTAAAAAATTATCCACATATACATATAAAAAGTTAGTCTTTTATTTGCATATATATGTATCATATATGTATCTGATTATTTTTGAGATTGGTAGATTAAAGTAGACATCCATGTAGGGAAGGTGAAACATAAAAATAACTGTGTGAAAATAACTATAAGCAAACTGAAACATGAAAAAATACCTGTAAGTGGTAACTTGTAACAACTTAACAAGTAACAACTAACATGTTGGCACTAGTAACAGGCTGAGGTTGACAACATTACACCGAAATCTTTCGCACAGTTTTATTCTGTAATTTATATTATGTATGTATCATGCTGGTTTTTAAATGATATTTAATACTATTAAGTAAAATCTAAAGGCTTTATCTATAAATGTAGCGGTAGCGCTGTAGCGGCAAAACCTCGTATCGCTACTTAAATATGTAGCGGGCTACCGCTACCGCTACATTGCCTTAAGTGTAGCGCCGCTACCGCTACCGCTGCTGAAAATGTAGCGGCCGCTAGTAGCGCCCGCTACATGTAGCACGCTACTGCCCACCTCTGCTTATTTTCAACCTAAGAGAGTACGTAACCATGCAGCCCCATACCACACCGTGGCACGTCAAACAATTCGAGAAG